TCAGTTAATTAAGTTGTACTGTTGTTATTTTTGTTGAGGAATTTCAAATACACGGATCATTACCTCTAATTTCTTACTTTAGTATTTCGTTTAATGCTAATTTTTATTTAACGACCAACATAATTAATCCTGTCAACCGCAACGTAATAAACTTTACTTGCCTCAATGGAAGCAGAAAAAGACATAGCACTTAACTCACATACGTGCATAGCTAAATCCGCATAGGAAGTGAATGATGTTTCCAGTTGTGAAATCACCTTAACGAGATACTTATCGACATTGGGTATCGACGCATCACATCGTCACGGCATTAAAAATATCATTAATTTTACGTTCACACTTTAAAATAAACAAGTCATAAAATTGCCATCGACAAATTTGTTTCAATATGGGATCTTCAGTGCGGAAGCACTGGCAAGGATATGCCTATACGATGACATGATGAAATTTAGTAGGAAATTTGATATGAACTTAATCTTCAATTTTGATTTTTAATAAAAACAAAGAAGTATAAGAAAAGTTAAGTAATATTTAATTAGATCTCCGAAATGAGCTTAGGTGTAATAAATTCTCATTATCAAAAATTTAAATTGACTTTATGAAAAGCTAATAAGTAGAAAATTGTTTATATTAAACATAATTACGATAACTTACTTAATTAAATGAGGTAAATGTTGCCTATTGACAAAGATAAACTTTGCTCGAATGTCAAGATGGTTAGTGATGATTACACGTTTAAAACTGTCGACATTTTTTAATTTATAATTAAGTATTTAATTTTGCTTTGCAGATTCCTTGCACTGCAATAATATCTTCAGAATTTGAACTTCACATATCTTGATACCGCCGTAAGCAACAACAATGGTGTAAATCTGGAGATTAGACGAATAATTATTGTTACTGACAGGTATTGCTATCAATTGCGAAAAAAAGTAAACCTCTTATTCGATCGTCAAAACTAACACTCCATACATAACTTATCCCAGAAATGCTCTTATATGTCACAGAAATATGGACGCTCTCACAAAATTATGAAGCAGCACGAGTTATAGGGGCTGGTTTTATTACGACATCGACGTTGTCCTACGATTCGCTGACTTGGTCGTGATGGAAAGATAAATAATGATGCTTAGCGAAAAAGGTGTTGTTTGAACTGGCACTCGGAAGAAAACGAAAGAGTGGTCTATGTCTATGATGAGAAAACAGTGAATCTTACTTGATGTACGATTAGACTTACCTATATACAACAGAAGCATCTGAAGTGCTGTGAAGAAGATATCCGAAAATGGATTGTTTTTCGCCAATTAAGTAAATATGTAAGCAATTAAAGTTTATTAATTAAAAATTTTATTTATATAAAACATTTAACACGATTTACTATGAATTCACATCAAATATAATTCTAATTATATAATATTTGATAATAATTTTCAACGTTTACATTATCGTAATTAATTTACTAATGGTGTAACAGAAACCTGTATATATAACTCAAAAATGTTGAAGATCTTTGACTCACATAGCACAATAATTAGGTAAATGGCTTCAATTAAGATAATACAACTTTGAAGAAATCTAGAATGGTAACCACTTTTACATATAGTCAATAGAAGTGTAAGGGATAAGCGCGTTGGGGTGAAAGCCTTAGATGACAGAAATGACGCTAATCAATTTTCAATTAAGTCTCTTTACACCTAAATGCACAAAAACTATAACCCTAAATGTCATGAAGCTTTTTTAACCTTAGTAATATAGTACAAGTATGTAATACACATAATTTTATTTTTCTATCTATTAAGTTTTTGAGAGATTCAAAAAATTCAAAAGTTGACCATATATGCGCCCAAATTTGAAAGAGTTTTGGTAAGACGATTGGGTTCGAAATATATTCAAACATTCAGCTTTATATAAGTAAAATTTTATTTTAGTATCTCTACTGGTCCAGAAAAAACTAAATTTTGATCGTCTAATATTAATTCTGCGACACTGTGCCCCGCTGCGAGCAATTGCATATTGATTTCACCACTCAACTGAGAGAGCAGTACCACGAGCCTTGCTCATATGGGGAAGGAGAAGAGCAATATTTACAAATAGAGATTGTTTTTGTATATTCAATTTTCAATTTTGGATATACTTTTCAACTAAGGTAGAAAAACATAAAATATCACATATGTATGTACTCTTCACCAAGTCCAAATTTTGATATTTATTTCTGTGCATCAATGTTTCAACGAAAGTAATGAAGTACAGAAAGCCTCGTCACCGTGGCGAAATTTTCTGTGAAGTTCTCTCTTTCTCTCATTCTTAATCACTTCATATGCATTAAAAGCAACATCATTAGATGTGACCATGCCTCTCTATATAACATAGCGCTTACCAATATTCATTAGTACTTACAAATATAGTGTTGGGAAACTAACGAAAATCCTATGGAAAAAAATTTCATATGTATAATAATATTGATATATATATTTTTGATTTATTGTAAAAAGCGAAAAGCATAAAATTTATGTTACAATTGTGATTTGACTCTCTGCAATATTGTCATACAATATGTGATCCCTAACGTTACTCTCAAGTAATTGTTTATATTTTGTTATGAATTTTAAAAATTTCATTTCCAATAACGTGAAATATGTAAATCAGTAAAGTTAAATAGAGTACAGTAGAGAATAGAGTAGAGTAATGAATAGAGTGAAGTAGAGAATACAATAGAGTAAATTAGAGAGGGATAGCGTAGAGTGGAGTAGCGTAGAGCGGAGTAGCGTAGAGCAGAGTAGCGTAGAGTGGAGTAGCGTAGAGTGGAGTAGAGTCTCTTATCTACTCTACTCCACTCTGGAGTAGAATATATTTCAACTCTACTCTACTTCACTCTGGAGTACAGTATATTTTAACTCTACTCTACTTCACTTTGGAGTAAAGTAGAGTTGAAATATATATTTTGTTTTACATCTCGTAACAGTAGATTTTAGTTATTAATGTTAAGAAAAATTTTAAAGTTAAACTAAATATTAAACCTCTGTTTTGTTGTTGTTAATCAGTAAAACTTGAATAATCGTATGTTAATAACAGACATACAATAACAACAACTGTACAATAACTAACAGTAACATTACTACAACAATAACAACAACAACATTGGCATCTACAGCAATAACAGCAACAGTTTTATTGCGTATTTAGTGTAAAAACCATTTTAGTTCTTGATTAACACGGCTAATGCCAGCAAAACTTTGTTGTGATGAAAGGCAATAATAAAGCCTAAAATAAAGTAAAACACAAAAAAAACAACAACAAAATTTGCCAGAATCACAAGCAGGAAGACGCATAGCGTATATGAACGGCTTTGAACATCAAAATAATATGACAAAAAGTTTTAAAGATAATGACGTTCATGTTTGGCACTTTGAAGACATTTTGCTTAACATATTTATTTGCATGGGCTTTTCACTTTATATGTTTAACCGTATGTGTGTGTGTGTGTAGTTGTTTTATGTTTCTTGCTGTTACTTAATACTGGCTTTATTGTTATTACTCAATTTGTTGTTGTTGTTGTTGTTATTGTTGTGTCACTTTCTTAACATTTTGATGATGAAAAGTTTTGCAGTTAACGATGTTTTTAGGTGCCATTGATCACACCTTAAAATTGGAAAAGTTCCACAATTTCGTTAATGATGTTATGCTTGTATGCGAATAAAGTTCAATCAAATACAACACCAACAACAACAACAACAACAACAAAGAAATAATAGCCATAACAATACAAACTTGTACGTAAGTTAAGCTTCTTTCCGCTTTTAATTGTTTCCTCTTAATGTTCGGAAGATGTTAGACAATTTAGCTGAAGTGGATTCAGTTTTTGTGATCACAGTTTTATTTAAAATGTGCTTAATGGCTTTGGAAGAGCTTGTGACCTACGCACATTTAAGGCCATAACACTGGAAGATGGCATCTGCACATATTAAGCTCGATCCGCTCCCTGTAATAGGGTACACTATGCTCAAGTAATACAAAATCGTCCTCAATTGTTGATAATTTTAAATTTACTTTGAGAGCATTTCTCTCTTTTAAAATTATTTTTAATTTAAAACTAAATCACTTCACAAAGGTTTTTGTACTAAAACCGTTTTAAAGATTAACATTAATAGATTTCTAATACTGCGGTTAGATCACTTCTTGTTTTCTCTTGTGCGAAAATACTTTACCAGGAATCTTCTTCCTGATTTTCTTCATCCAGCTTAATTTCCCATCGAGCTACTTCACAATTTGAGGTTTGATAATTTGAAGGCCTCCTCATTTCCTTGTCTTTTATCTACAATCGTGGTTACAATCACTCCTTTTACGCAGAGCTTAGTCTTATTCAGTAGTTATTACCTACCAAAAACATCCTCCACATTTGTTTCTATTTTTGGCTGAGATATTTTTGCCACCTCAATACTAAACCTTCTGTATTCTAATAACTGTCTTTCCCTAGATTACTGGAATGTGGTTCTAGTTTCTGATTTTTACTGAAATTTGTCCAGTTTTATTGGAATCAAGTTTTACACTACAACTTTCGATGCTTTCCACCTAACGGGAAATAAAACAAAAAAAGATTTAAAATTCTCAGACTACTCAGTTTTATTGCACTGAATACCACTATAAGAAGACTATTCAACGATGAAGATAAAAGACCTATTAAATTACCTAAATTCGGTGGAATGCATTTAGTCTCAACTTTTCTATACTAGGGTTCTTGCGAGGAATGTGGTAACAAAACTGCGAAAAATCGCTAATTGAGGTACATTTGAAGTTAACTAACGGCCTGCCACTGCAACCAACCAACTAACCACTATAAGATATAAAATATTCTCAGAACAATGTTTCAATTTTAACTTAAAATTTCGTGTACCTCTTCAATACTGGTTTTTGTTCAAATAAAATTATTTTGATCTGGCAATAACATTTTTTTATTGCAACATAAAATAACGAAAGTAAAGCTGTACATCGTCATTTTCCTAATTTACACTGACGTGGAAGGTTGTGTTGTCCGAGTATGAACACAAGATCTATAAATTACGCAGTCATTCCAGATACTGGACATACAGAAACCGAATATGAGGTAGAGAAAATATCAGGGAAACGACTGAAAAATGGAGTTGTTGAATATGAAATAAAGTGGAAAGGCTATTCCACTTTGGATAATACCTGGGAGCGAATAAAAAATTTGTTGAATTGCCAAGATATGATACAGCAATACGAAAACAAACTTAAAAAATATCGGCAGACTTCAAGGAAGACTTCTCAGCAGACTAGACAAGAAAATAATAAACGTCCCAATACTCGTAGTGCTGCACGAGAACGTGGCGGTGAAAACGAAAAAAAATAAACTATTTGTTGTAATATGTTTATTATTTATCTTTAAATAAAATTATTTGAGAAAAATTATATAATTACTTATGAGTGCTTTAATTTGGCTTGGGATTTTTTTTTATTTTAATGGGATATTTTGCTTTGCTTGTATAAAGTTGCTGAAGTTTTTGGGTATTACAACAAACGTGGTAAGTTAATGATAGTTTATTTATATATTGTATTTTGAGGGAAATATTAAAGGGAAATAATAAATGTGTTGAAATTATTAGGGACTTATTGCACATCATTCTTCAATGTTGACTTGGTGCGCTGAAGTGGGAAATTTAAGCCAATTGGGAAATTTTATTCCACTTGCGCAATGCGTAATAGCAAAATTTATAGGAATGACAAGTAGATATGGAAATTAAAATAATTTGATTGTTCGGCAGTCGTGCTCGTTCATTTAAGTATATGTTCGGACTTTTGTCGAGACTGACACGACTCTAGTATGAGTCATTAAAGCGTACATATTTTTTATGCAAAAAAAAATATTGAGAATGTCGTTTTAATATAAAACCCTTAATAAATTATAGGTTATTTCTTAAATCTATTAAATTTAATAATGGAAAATATTATTTTACTATTATTATTATTAAAAAAAAATGCTTATATAATATCAATTATATATGGATATATATATAATTCGCAAGAAAAATTGACATATAATTAATACTCAGAAACGAATAGAAAAAACAGACAGACATATAAAATATATTGATCTTTTATATAATTATATTTTATTGTCTGTTGAAAATACCCGTATTATAAAATTGAAATTTTCTCGATGGCATAATTTTAAAAGCAAAATTTATTCTGTATTTCACATGTAATGTATCCGCGCTCCATTTAATTACTTTAAATTTTTTTAGACAAGTTAGAAATATATTGAATATTTATTTTTGATTTGGATTTATCATTAAATCTTTTTAATATACTAAAATTTTGAGGTTAAAAATATTTTAAAAAAAAAATTAGATTTAGTTTAAAAAATATACCACCCAATGTATTACTTTTTAATTATTTTTAATTAATTAATCATTAATTTCTACTTAAAAAATATTCTTTTCAAGGTATTATTTCAGAAGTGTTTTTAAAAAATTATTTAACATCCAATTTACATATTACATATACCCACCAAATTTCAATAAATTTAATTTTAATATAATTACCACCAAAAATATTTATTTCATATATTTAATATTCTCTGTGAAACTCTGTAAGTTTTTGAAAAAACTTTTAAAACTCTTTCCACCTCTTGCACAGAACTTAATGATTATATTTGCCAACCAAACACAACAATATATTGATTTATCAAAATATATTTATTTTTATTTTTTATTTAGAGAATAATTAAATTGATATAATTTCAGTAATATATAAAAGTAATTATGCGATTGTTGTAAAATCAATTGTGATTAAATACTGTTATTATATAAAACTAATTTTTTTTTAAAATGTCCTTAAAAACTTTTCAGTCGTCATTATTGACATTACTCAATCTCTGTTAATTTGTAATATGTATATATTATATTAATTATCCTTCTTGAAGCATAAGTTCAAATAGCTTAACATTTTTATTAAACCCATCATCAATGCCATCATAAATATTACCAGAACTCACACTGGTTGCACTGTTAGCAACAGCAAGGCTTGTATCGCTGTTATTGAAATAACTGTTATTTAGAGCTGATTTTGAGCCGGAAAGATCAGAAAAATTAAATTTTTTACTATAATCAGGTATTTTCTTTAATCCATTTAAAATGAAAGAGTCTTCATTTTCTGAATCATTCGTACGTAAGGAATTCATATTGGCATCACGTACTGTTTTGTACAAATCACCATTAGTGGATGCAGAAATAATATTATCAGCTCTCTTTATATTATTTTGCAACTGGACCCCATTGTTAAATCCAAAATTATTGTTATTAACTCTGTTAATTTTATTTTGCAACTGTGCCCCATGGTTTGATCCAAAATAATTGCTATTTACTCTGTTAATTTTATTTTGCAACTGAAGACCATTGTTGGACCCAAAACTATTGTTATCAGGTCTGTTAATATTATTTTGCAACTGGAAAAAATTGTTGGACCCAAAATTGATGTTATCAGCACTGTTTACATTATTTTGCAACTGGAAACCATTGTTGAATTCAAAACTAAAGTTATCAGCTCTGTTAATATTATATTGATGACGAAAACCATTGCTTGATTCCGAGTTAAAGTTGTCATTGCTGTCAATATTTTTTAAAAACTTTATCGGACTAATATCGGTAGAGTTTGGAATTGTATTTTCGTTGTTTTTAAACGTGCTATTTTTTACGTATGACTTATTGCCAAGATCTGATATAACTTGAAGATTTTGAATTTTACTAGCGCTATTATCGATAGTTTCGGTATTAGTTCTGTGAGTATTAATATTTCTTACGTTCAATATATTGGCGTTGGATATATTTTCCAAATTTTGAATCTTATTGCCACTGTTAATAATCATCTCAGTAGGATTTTTAAAATTATTTGCATCTCTAGCAATTAATATATTCTCAGAATTTTTAATAGCATTGGCGCTATTGATAGTGTTAGCAAAATTACTTCTAAAGTTATTAAAATCTCTTACGCTTGGTAGTGTGTAATGATTTTCACTATTACTATCATTACTGTTATTAAGAGAATCAATATTTTTTACACATACTTTATTAATATTATTTTCAGAAATTTGTTTGGAACTTGCAATATGTGTATTCGGCGAATGATCAAATGCTTGAGGTAGTATATTCTCATTCATACTTTCAACATTCTTGTATTTATTAGTTGCTTTGGAATTTATATTTAATCTACCATACGTTTTTGGTATAAGTGTAATATCTGATTTTTCATTATCAAATATTATCTCTTCCACTTCACTGCTGCTGTTAGAATTCGAGGAGTTATTCGCTTGCATATAAGATTCCACATTGCTGACTTTAGTTGAGTTATTAATGTAATTGCAACTCATTGGATTATGCATATTTTGTTGTACATCTAAGCACCCATAACCTTCATTTAGGGAAAATAAACCCTCCCTTATACCGTCAAAACCTGTACTAGTAATTGTGGCGCTCGCACAACTTTTTTTAGGCGGACTGGTCGCTATATTCTCCTGAGAATTTCTCTTAAGAGTACCACAATTATCAGGCATGACAAAACCATCACTAAAACTATTTGCTGTACTTGTTGCATTCAATGTATTAGTTAAATTATTTAAATTATGACCTAAATAATCAACATTTTCCGATTCAATATAATTGACCTCATTTAAGAAGCTATATTTTGATTGATATTGGGGAATAGGCTGCATAAAGTCATTATTAATATTTTCAAAACAGTTTATGGAATTGTTTTGTGTATCAAAAATATTTCTTTCCTTAAAGTATTGTAGTTTTTCCCCAGTTGGATTGTTAACTGGCATGTTAACATCAAGGAATCTTTGATTCCATTGATCTTCGCACTGTTTATTGTATTCTAAATATATATCGGCATTACGTCTTGTATCATTTCTAATGGCGATCTTTCGCATGATATCACTATTTTCACGCTTTGGTTTTCGAACAAAAGGAGCATGTACATCCGGATCGTGTGGGAATAGGTTTCGTAAATCTGGTGGTTCACGTCTCAACATATTACCGAACTTATATTGTGCTGTTTCTTTTAGTGGATGGACACGATTACGCACTAATGGTTCGGTGATGTGAGAGAAGCGTACATGTGGATCACGCAATTGCATGTCATAATTTTTACTGGAATATGTGTACATATTAACTGGTTCAAAGGAAAACGGTTTTAAAGAATTTGAATGATTAGATCCAACATCTTTTGGAGTTGTTAATGTTTTTAATGGATTGTTCAAGGGTTTTTCAAGATCTTTAACTTTAGTAATTACATTCAGTGGTACTCCTGGGTAATTAATTGATGATGCACTTCTTACTGGTGGCATTTGTGAAAGTGGTGGTTTCTGGAAACTTTCAATATTTTGCATTTCATTTAGTCTAGAAGAATGTGCGTGATAATTGTTATTCGTACTTTGCAATACTTTGCTTGGTAGTATTGCATTATATGTGCTAGGTATTGCATACATCTGAAAATTATTGCAAAATTTATTTAATATATTATTTTTGCTTACATCTTTTGTAATTACTTACTTTTGCTTATTATTTTGCTTTTAGTTTTATTTCATTAATTACTTTACACAATCAGCAATAAATTACACTCCTTGTTCAGTTTTACATATTAAATTAATTTGTATTTTTGATAGTATTTAATTAGTATTTTATTTTTTTTTATTTTAATACCAATTTATAATAAACTATATCAATAAAATTAATTTTATTCTTTTTATTTTTCACTAAATTTATATTAAAGTAGGTTTATTGTTAAATGATATTTATTTTTTTTTTTATTATTATAATTGTACTTACACTAAATCCATATTAAATTAATTTAATTTATGAGAATTTGTTTTTAAATGATTTTCATAATTTTATTTATATTATAATTTAATAAATTTTCAAATGAATTTATATTTTATTTTTCACTAAATGTACGTTACACTAATTCAATTAAAATAATTATTTAAATGACATTTATTGTTTTATTTTACATTAAATCCATATTAAATTAGTTTTTAAATAGCATATTTATTTAATTATTTAGTTAATAATAATAAAGCATAAGATCTATAATAAATGTAAATGCTGGACTTTTGAGATAATGATTTTATTATTAAGAAAAAATATTTTATCAAAGTGCAGAACAATACGTTATCAGTAGGAAGAATAAATTAGAAACTTTGATAAAATATTACTTTTCAAAATTGTTAAAATATTATACAAAATAATTTAATTTTCATATCATGTATATCTTAAATGTGCTTCATAATTTTATTTGTTAGTTATTTATTTTGCACTTTATTTCTTATTTTTTATTAGGACAACTATTACATATATTATTAAAACTTTAATTAATACATAATTGTTTAGTGAATACCAATTATGATCTTTGTTTTTTAAAGAAAAAGAATCACTTTTTTAAGATTACACCAAAAATTCACTTCGTATTATATATAAAGATTTTTAAATATATCTTCATATCACACTAATTCTTTATTCACAACTATCAATCAACTTTTACTCTTCATAATCAGAACAATTCTGAATACCTTTTATTCTTAACAATTCGAGTCGAACTTGAATTTAGCTAATCCCCGAACAGTAGCCTCTAGCAGGAGAGTCTATTAGGAGAGTCTATCAGGAGAGTAAAAACTCAGTTACCTCAGTTATATATAGTACATATACATAATAGCTTACATACTTTACAATCACATGATGTTTTATATTTTTGATAAAGCTTATGAACATATGTAGAATCTCATGTTAAATTCCTAAGAATTTGATGTAAACAGACATTTTATTGGAGTTTGATATCAAAACAATAGAAATAAAATCCTTTAGTACCAGTTCAAGACAATTATAAAACTAGGGTTACTTTATTATATATTAATATAAGTATATATATGATATATATTTTCTTTATAATCATCTTGAACTGGTACTGAAGGATTTTCATTTCATTCTCTATATACATAAATACATGTATACATAGTCTAAAGAGTTTTTATTAAAAAATCCAATAGATTAATATTTAACGTTCAAAATCTTGCAGTGTCCAGTTTTATAGTTTTTTAAACTGAACTTTTACTTCTGACGTTCTTTATACTTGACACGTTTACATAAAATATAATAATATAAATATTATCAACTAAAGATATGAAGACAAATGCAAAATAAATACTGCTATGTACCCCTAAAAAAATTAAATTTTTATTTTAAACTCTTCTATTTATCATTTATATACAATCATGTGTATAAAAAATTTTATAGAGCGTCACATAAGTTCAAGAGTATCCATCCAATATAAACATTTGTCTCATTAGCTCAAAAATATACACACCATTTCTTATATTGTTTAAATCTCATTTTATGAGTATCTCAGCTCAAAATTATTGCAAATGTGCTGCGAAATAATACAAGCTCATATACAGACCTTGGTCTGTATTTACAAAATACATACATCGAAACATGACTTTAAAAGTTATATGCACACTAAATATATTTCAAACTATTCTATAAACATAGACGGATTAAGGCTATCTTTAACTTAGACTTGAATGTAATAATTAATATCGAAATAAATTGAGGTAACATATCTAATAAAGATTTGTACTCTTCATTTTTTTGTGTAAATATTATATATAATAAGATTAAAAGAATTACCCATTATTTTAAAGAATATCTTAAAAAAGCACTCCAGGATTCCATGCCTCCATTACTTATAGGGATTTGAATTTAATTTCTATATATGAAACCATACCTTAGCTTGAATTAAAACTATTTCGAAGTAAATTAAATAGACATATTTCTTTGATAAGTAAATACAATTGAAGTGAAGCATCTATAAGGTCTATTTTTACTGAGACTATATGATTTACCTAACTAGTTTGATCATTTTGTCTAAGATAATTTACTAAAACAGATTTTTGATACTTGAACGCAGCAAGTTACTCTACATACGGAAAAGTAGTATGCACAAGTGTTAAAGGGGTTAAATAAGCCACCGAATTGAGCCATGATAAAATGACATCGATTATAAAATGCTGTAGTCTATATTATAAACCGAGTATAAATTAAGGTCTAGAAAAGGTTTTGAAAATGTTGAAGAATAGTATAAAAGAAAACATTTCTTTTACAGTGAAGAAAACATTTTTTTACAGTGTTTGTGAGTGTTTCGGGAATGGTATATTGTTAAGGGGAGAGACCTATATCCTAATTCTCCCCCGACACACCAATAAGAAGTACTTGTGACATAAGCTGGTTCAAAACCAAAAATTTCCTATTGTGATATTCCAATTTCTCAATCAAAATATCTTTATTAAATTTCTGAAAGTATTAAAACAGTTTATAAACAGTTTATATTTAATACTTCTAAGTACTTATACAGTCTGAAAAGTGCATGTCTAAAAAATGGTCGAATGCTTTGAAAGATATATAGTTATTATCTTTTGTAAGTTGAACAATAATAGACCTTATAATTAGGCACACAAAAGAATGTTATTTTGTTAGCACTAATCAATACAGATATGATATATATATATATATATTGATGAACTAATTTAGATTTATTGGTCCAAGTTTGCAGAGATTTTATAGGTGCTTGACTATCCGGATATATTATAATTTAGAAAGGTGCTACTTTGTCCATACTAAGTATGCCGATATGAAACTTTTTTAAGTTTTTGCCATCTACAACTTTGACAACTTGAATCTGGTTGTCCAATATTGGGTCGATTTCATAGTTATCTGATAATTAAAGTATTTATTAATCTAGACGAGTGTTTATTTTTTTTTTTTGAACTAATCAATTCAAAAATGAAAATTTAAGACTATCTTGGATTCAGAATTTCAAAATTGGGAAGGTTTTATTGTTGACAGATTATTTAAGTATATAATATTTAAGATTATTAAGTATACATCACTGAGAAGTACTTGTGAGCTGTTTCAGAGTCAAAAATTTCCTATTGTGATATTCCAACTTCTCATTCAACATACTATATGGAAATATTATGACAGTTTATATCTAATAAATCTGTTAGCTATAGATTATTTCAGACTCTAATAATTAAGACCAATATTAGTTTATTTCTACTAATGCAGCTATAAGCTTTTTGTAGTAACAGATTAATTTGGATTTAGTATTCCAAGGTTGAAGAGATTTCAAAGGAATTCAGACCAACTATCCGAATATTTAATAATCTAGATCAGTGACCAATTTAGATTCTTGTAGTGTGGAATGGAGAGATTTCATCTATTCGAATATAATCATAAAATAATGATTAATAATAATAATTATGTATTTTCATTATTGGTTGAGATGTCTTTCTATTTTCGTAGAGATTACAGATGAGCTATGTGTTGCTTAACCTAATTACCGAAAATAATATACTAATATACTAGGAAAAAACTTAATAAATTATTTAATTTAGGATAGCTTAAAGATAATATATGAAAATATAAAGTACAAAGAATATGAAAATTGAAAACAAACTAGTAGAATAGTGAAGAAAAGTAAAATCAAATTGTAACAACGGAAAAGCTGTCATGACAACGTGTGCACTTGCATGTCAAAAAAGAAATTAAAAACTAAAAAATGGAAAACTGGAAAAACTGAAAAACTGAAAAAACTGAAAAGTGAAAAAGTGCCACTCGCCAGTTCAGCTCAGAAATGGCAGAAATAAATCTCAAATGTTGACCGCACTTGCAGCTCGAGTATCTTTCGAAAATATTTTGAATTGCGCGCTTGTGGGTTGATGTCGGGAACTATGTTACTCTTCAGTGAGATTGGTTTGCATTACTTGAGTGTACCGCATTTTTTTGTTCTTGTTTGCACAAACTTTATGACTTTGTGTTGCACACCAAACGGTAAAGTTTGCCTCAAGAGATACAATTTGGAAAATAAAATTCCTACACCAAAGCTTCAAATACCAAACCTCGAACGCTGAACTTTCATAGCGTCACTGAATAACCGATCGAGACATTAAATGTAGTGAGGAAAGCAGCTGACATACGAAAATAGGAAACGGAAGTTGAGAATATTATGCAAGATGGTTTTCTGCTCGGTCGTCTAAAAGGACTATAAGGACTTTTTCGCATGTGACTAAGTGCATGAAGAAACTTCGTCGTCTAGCGATGCTTCAGTTTGTTTGTAATTTTTTTCGTCAATTTATTTTTTTTAATGTTTTTCTTTTTGTTTATTCTAATCTCTTTTTTATTCTAGTGTTGTTTTCTGAGTTTTTTTAGTTGTTAAAAAAGTTTCTATATCTTTTTGACATGTCTACAAATGAATTTTTTAAGATAGTCTTACCAATGCATAAATTTCTACAAATTTGATATGTATGCATGCATGCGTAAATAAGTATGTATGTAAATACATATGTATTTATATTGTGTAGTTTTTTCTGGGTTAGTGGAATTTAGAATTTAGTACATATAGTGTGTGTATATTCTTGTCGAAGATGCGTTACAATAAGTTTGTAAACTTTAGGAATTTTTCATAACATTAAGAAGTAAAAATATGTGAAAAACCTTTCCTAAAAGTTTCGTTTCCCACATTTGATAGAAAAATAATAAAAATAAAAAATAATAAAAATATATGTAATATCAGTAGCTTTGATG